CCAGCACCAGAAGCTGGCTGGGTTGTTTTCTACCCCAGGGATGCCCTGGCCACATCTGGAGGAAGGAAAAGGGGTGGGAGCCTGATTTGGGGGCAGCCATGCTGTGAGGAGGAGCTGGAGGTGGTGAGTATCAGGGGGAAGAGGTGGCTTCTGATGGTCCCAGGTGAATGACTCTTAGGTGGGAGACCAAGACCAAGGCAAAGTGGAGCCACCTGGTCCCAGTTCCCTAAATCCAGCCTCCCACTTGCCCTTGTTCTAACCCTTCCCACGCTGCCTGCCTCTGCCCTGCTCGGGAAATGAGTGTGGGGAGGTGGATGTGCTCCTGGCCCTGCCGAGCAGCAGCCAGACCTGCTTTGGGAGCAGCAGCACGATTCACCCAGAGCCCCCCCTTTCCTTGGGGTGGGAGCTGGGGGAGCTGCTCTCCCCCTCTGGGCTGACCTCAAGTGTCTCCGAGTCGCGCCCGACGCTGTGCAGCGCTGAGGAACGGCTCCGCGTGCTCCTTGGCTTTTTATGGTAAGGAATGTCTTTGCAACATGTTAATTAAGAGCGGTCACGGCAGCCAGCGCCGGCCCCGTCACTCTCACAGCTGAGAGCTTCACACCCACCACGAAGAGCTGAGCTCAGAGCCTTCAGTGATGCTCAGACCGTGGACCCCATCCGGGGCTGAGCCCCCTCTGCCTCCCCCTTTGCTTCCTCCAAGGCTCCTGTGGGGTTTAATGCCCTCTCCCTGCCCCCGTTCCCCTCTGGCTGCTGGTGGATCCCCTGACACAGATGGGAACATGTCTCTGATTCCCAGGGTTTTGGGGCTGGAGCCCCATTTCTATGTGTTTTTGCTGTAGTGGGCCAGGGGAAAGGGGGGATACCAGGGTCTGGGTGTGCAACCTGCTCTCGTGGTGTCCTTGGCACTGTTATTTTGGGGCAAAAAAGGGGGTTTATCAAATCCTGTTGGGATGGAGACCAGCTTTGATTAAGAGCGGTCACGGCAGCCAGCGCCGGCCCCGTCACTCTCACAGCTGAGAGCTTCACACCCACCACGAAGAGCTGAGCTCAGAGCCTTCAGCGACGCTCAGACCGTGGACCCCATCCGGGGCTGAGCCCCCTCTGCCTCCCCCTTTGCTTCCTCCAAGGCTCCTGTGGGGTTTAATGCCCCCCCTGTTCTGCTCTGGCTGCCAGTGGATCCCCTGACACAGATGGGAACATGTCTCTGATTCCCAAGGTTTTGGGGCTGGAGACCCATTTCTCTGTGTTTTTGCTGCAGTGGGCCAGGGGAAGGGGGGGCATACCAGGGTCTGGGTGTGCAACCTGCTCTCGTGGTGTCCTTGGCACTGACTGTTATTTTGGGGCAAAAAAGAGGTTTATCAAATCCTGTTGGGATGGGGACCAGCTCCTCCTCATGTTTAGGTGAAACTTATGTTCAAGTTTGTGCCCATTTCCTCTTGTCTTATCCCTGGCCCCACTGAAAAAAGACCGGCCTCATCCTCCTGACACCCACCCCTTAAGTATTTATAAGCATTGATCAGATCCCCCCTCAGCTTTCTCTTCTCTAGACTAAAAAGACCCAAGTCCCTCAGCCTTTCTTCATCAGAGAGATGCTCCAGGTCCCTAATCACCTTTGTAGCCCTCTGCTGTTCCCTCTCCAGCAGTTCCCTGTCCTTCTTGAACTGGGGAGCCCAGAACTGGACCCAGTGCTCCAGATGGGGCCTCACCAGAGCAGAGCAGAGGGGGAGGATGAACCTACCCCCTTTTCCTACGGATTCTTTTGTATTATTGCTATTTATTCCTCAAACTGTTTCTTCCAGGGCAGAGCGCGAGCTGCCTGGTGGGGTGAGAGTGGGGGAGGATGACCTCCCTCCACCTGCTGGTGTCTCCTGGGGTGGTGCAGGGGATGGCTTCTGTGTCATTTAGGCCAGGAGGCACCATGGCCAGGCTGTTCCATAGGTGCTAATTTGTTCTTGCAAGCAGTTATTTGTCCTTTGGGCTTTCTCCCAGTGTCTGGGCTGCTGCTGTTGGGTGTGGGTGACAGAGGGGCTGTGGGGTGCTCCAGCCGTGTTGTGCTGGCCCCGTGCCCCACAACCTGCACTCCCACCCCTGGGATTTGCAAAACCTACCCCCTTTCCCCACGGATTCTTTTGTATTATTGCTATTTATTCCTCAACCTGTTTCTTCCAGGGCAGAGCGTGAGCTGCCTGGTGGGGTGAGAGCACCCGTGTTCCAGGGCTCTGCTTGCAGGGCTGCTGGTACTGGGGTTTTGGGGCTCCTCAGAAAGAGTCAAAGCTGGAAAAAGAGCAGCCACCTGCAGCAAAGCCGAGCTGAGGGGGAGCAGTGATGTTGTTGCACCCCGTGTGTGGTTTTGATGAGCTGTTTTGAAGAGGTGACCCATCCTCTTTTCTTCTCTGGCTGATAGTCACGGGCTCTCAAGCTGCTATTGCTATTTTGAGCCTCCTTTCCCGTGCAACGCCAAAAAAGCCAAAAAACAAACTGAGTTTACAAAATCCACGGTAATTTAGCACTTTTCTCCTGCTGGTTGTTTTGAGGCTGCTTTTTTCCAGGGTGGGACTGTGGGATTTGCTGCCTGTGTAGCTGGAGTGCTGTCCCTAAGGATCAGACCCACGGGAGCTGCTGATCAGAGTCATCTCCCTCTTCTTTGGTTGTTTTGTGGTGGCCACAACACTGACACCGAAGGATCCGACGTGGCTGAGAGAAGTGAGTCCCCAGAGCCCCAGCTTTGCTGCTCAGACCCATCTCCCAGCCCAGGGACAGCTTGGTGCTGGGGGTTTGAGAGGTTGGTGGCCACGCTGTGGCCTGGCCTTTTCCCACAGCTGGCTCAGAGGTGGCACCAGGAACCTCCCTGGGGCTGGGCAAGGAGTTTTGGGCAAGGACCCAGGATGCTGCATGTTGGGTCACACCGAGCATCGCTAGTGAGAGCAGCAGCAACTCCAGTACAGCCCTGGGGGTTTGCTCCTCCTCTCAGGTCCTTCCCCCTCAACACCCCAGCTCTCACCCCACGGTGAGATGAGATACCCAGATACCAGCCCAACTCCTTCCCCCTCCCCATCCCCAGGGTTCTTTCTGGGTGGACTTTGAGCCCCTCACCAGGGCATGATGCACGGCTGGAGGTTTGTTGAATGGCTTGTACATCTGTGAGCTGGTTATTTTTATTTTCTTGTGAGCGCTATAAAAAGATGAACTTAGAAGTGACTCCTGTCCTTTCTGGGAACTCAGCCCTGCGTGAAGGAGAACAACCTGGCTTTGAGCGTAGACTCCATGGGGCTTCCTGCTGTGCAGCCCCAGTGCTGGCACCGGGATGCCCTGCAGCATCTTGGCTTGAGGTCTGCAAGCACAGCCTCGTGTGACAGGAAAATGGGTCTGAGGGGGGGCAAGAAGAAGGGGAGCAGGGTTGATGTCTCCTCTGTGATGGCTCAAAAGGATAGGGAACCGACTACCCCCAGCCATGACAGTACAGGCAGTGGCAAGAAGAAGGGGAGCAGGGTTGATGTCTCCTCTGTGATGGCTCAAAGGGACAGGGAACCTTGCACCCCCAGCCATGCCAGCACAGGGAGCCTTAGGCAGTGCAGGAGGTGGTGGAACATCTCCATCCCCAAGGCGAGGTGATAACCATGTCCAGGAGAGGGGCTTGAACCCTTGGGTGTGGGGGGATCCATTGGAGCCAGATCCCGTGGCTCTCTCCCAGCAGAGGTGGATGAGGACAGGAGGAAAATAAGGCTTTTAGCCATGTTTGCGTGGCTGTTTCACTTTTTTCCCTGGCTTGGAAGGGTTGAGCAGGGGAGATAAATGCAAATATAAGTAATGGAGCTGTTTATACACTCGTTCTCTGTGACTTATGCCGTGAGCAGGCCTAGACTAAATATAATGGTTATTGATATGAGGCGGTGGCTGATTTATGGCCCTCTGGGTGGGGACAGGAAGATCTGGTTATAATAACACTCAGAGGGGAAAAGAAATGTTTGACAGCCCAAAGCTTCCTGGGGAGAAAGGCCAAGAGCTGGGGAGGGGTGGGGGACGGCGCAGTGGGGAGCAGGGCTGCTTAGACCCTTATCCAGGCAGGGTGCTGATAGAAATAGCCTCCTGCATCACATCCCAGTCCTGCCAATGGGGATGTTGTAAGGAGGGAGGAAGGGAGAGCTGTGCAGAGATTTATTCCCCTCTGTAATGGCAATTTATAGAGAGCTGATCTTCACGAGTGCTTGGTGCCGTCAGGGCACAGCCCTGGGCACCGCAGGGATGCTCAGCACAGCCTGTCCCAGATCCTCCACACTTCAACACCTCCTCTGGCCGTGCTCCACAGCATTTTCAAAAGAGTTAATCAATCCTATTCTAGTGATGCTCTTCTGGTACAGGAAACCATGGGTCTTTAAAAAAAAGCTGGTGGTCGCAGGGCTCAGCAGCTCCTGGAGAATGTACAGTAGTAAGAGTGGAGGACACGTGAGTCACACCAGCCCCTGGTGTGTGGGTACAACTGCGTTAAGTGCCCTTCCTCACACTGTGGTGGTTTCCCCCCTCAATGGATGTGCTTGGATGTGACCCACATCCTCTACCCCTCCGCTGCCCCACAGCTTCCCTCGGGCCAGCGGGTCCCACCACCCACCTCCACTCTGCTGTGGACCATGGGGTGTCCCAGGGGAGCAAGGACACGGGATGCAGGACGAGAAGTTTTATTGAAGACAGGCTGAGAGAGCTGGGGTTGTTCAGCCTGGAGAAGAGAAGGCTCCGGGGAGACCTTATAGTGGCCTTCCAGTACATGAATGGGGCTACAGGAGAAATGGGGAGGGACTCTTCGTCAGGAAGCGTAGTGACAGGACAAGGGGTAACGGTTTTAAATTGAAAGAGGGGAGATTCAGATTAGATATTAGGAAAAAATTCTTTGCTCTGAGGGTGGTGAGACCCTGGCCCAGGTTGCCCAGAGAAGCTGCGGCTGCCCCATCCCTGGAGGGGTTCAAGGCCAGGCTGGAGGGGGCTTGGAGCAACCTGGTCTGGTGGGAGGTGTCCCTGCCCAGGGCAGGGGGGTTGGAACTGGGTGGTCTTTAAGGTCCCTTCCAACTGTGACCATTCTATGATTCTCTTGTGGCTGCCTGGCCTCACACGTAGCCGCAGGAAGGCAGTGCCAGTGCTTTGCTCTTCACAGCAAGCACCTCACCCTGCCCAAGTTGTCTGAAAGCATTAAAATCCTCCCCCAGCCCTGATGGGGGAGGATCCCCCCACCGATGTCCCGCTCTGCTTCCCCCGGCAGCGTCGCCTCTCCCGTGGGGCCACAGCTGCACTCCCCTGGTAAATGGTCTCCCTTCTTGGTGACCTCCAGATGCTCTGCAGAGCCTCGCACCCACTGAAAGGGCAGGGATGAGCCATGGTCAGCAGCACAGAGCAGTGTCCTGTGTCCTTGGCAGTCCTGTACCTGGGCTATGGCACTCAGCTCAGTCACAGATGCTGCTTCCAGCTGTGGTCCATCTCCAGGAAACCCCCCCCCAAGCCAAAACCCCAAGGAGATAGTAAAGCCCAGCGCTAGGAAGGTTTGTCTCTTGAGTTCTGTGCTTTTCTCCTGGCTTTTCCTACCTTGGCTTGGGTTTGTGCCCATGTGGCTGTAACCAGCATTGCTCTGGGACACAGCTGAACTGGAACACAAACGAATCGAGATTTCCCAAATATCCCTAAAAGCACATCCTGCTAACTCCAGCCAGGAGCTGTGCTGGTTGGAGGGACCGGAGCTTTCCATAGTTCCAGGCGTAGATGCAACAGGGTGTAAGTCTCTCTGTGAGAGAGGAACACATGAGAGCTGATTTGGGGGTTTGATCCCTCAGGAAGTGCTCGGTGGAAGCAAATCCTGCCCTTGGGATCCTCGGTCGGTCACTTGGCTGAGTCCATCAGGAGCATCACTTCAACAGTTATGACATCTGGATGCACTGGAATGAAAAAAGGTACGATTTAATGCATTTTAACCCAAAACTTAGCCCACCCCCACGGCTGTGATGCTGTGGGAAACTGCAAAGCCGTGGGTTGGGAAGGAGCTCTGCTAGCTGACGTTGAAGGTGATGAAGGAGCCATCTGCTTTCTGCTGACGTCCCACCGGCTCTGCCTCCTCCCAGGGCTGGGCCGGGACCTTGCAGTGCCCGGAGGAACAGCCGGGCAGGGCTTCGCTGATGTGGGTGACCTCGCTGAGCTCTGCCTCCAGCATGCTGACCGTGTTCATCGCTTGGGCCGCATGGACCTTGTTGGCCGCCTTCTTGTGCAAGAGGCAGATGAAGATCTTCTTGAAGCCCTTGCGGAAGTGTTTGGAGACCAGGGCGTAGACGATGGGGTTCACGCAGGAGTTGGCGTAGGAGAGGAGATGGGAGAGGATGCGGAGCACGTACGTGGCGTGATTGAGGGGGAAGTACCCGAACCAGACACAGAGGATGACCAGGTGATGGGGCAGCCAACAGAGGCAGAACAGGATGGCTACAATGATGATCATCCTGGTGACCTTCCGCTTGGCCTTCTTGGACTCTGACATGTCTTGGAGAGGGTCTACAGACCTCCACAGGTAGCGAATAGTCCGCATGTAAGTGAGGCTCAGGATCAGCACTGGGATGATGTAGCTGAAGATGAAGGTGCAGATGTCCATGACCTTGCGCTGGGAGATCTCCCAGATGGGGTGGCAGACGGTCAGGTTGGCCAACTGGAACTCTTGGTAGTAGCTGAGGTAAGGGCCTGAGAAGATGAAGGAGAGTCCCCAGATGAAGCAGATGGCTGTGAGGGCATTCCTGGGTGTCCTCAGGTCCCTCGAGTGCAGAGGGTATCTTATGGCCAAATACCTGCATGGGAAAGGGAGAAGGGCATGATTACAGCCCTGGAAAGGGCATGGAGAGCTGCTCCAGGAGCAGATTGGAGATAGGGTGAAAGTGGTGCTGGATTTGAGCTTTCCAGGACATCAATTCCTTCAACTGATTTTCTGGTGCTCCTAAGGATCCTGGTTGGATGACGAGGATCCTCTTGCCCTAACAACGTCCCATCACCCTCTCGGCTCCCAGCAGTGCCTGGGGGGAAGATGGGGATGGTCCCCTTCTGTCCTTCTCTCTAACCCAGCAGATCCTCACTTGATCATCAGTCTGTCTGGCACAAGCTCTAGCAGCAGTGAGGATATGGAGGCAGGAGCAAGTCCCCAGGATCCCCAAACACCGCGTTCCTCACGCTGGCATTTGGGAAAGCATGTCACCCATTTTCAGTTCTGCAATTAACTGGTCCCGTATTTACACCCAGATCTAGGAGTTCATGCAAGGCCCTGCTTCTCCAACACCTCCGTTCCTCCCAGCTCTGTGGGATGCAGGAGGAGAGGCAGACCCTGGGTCTGGCTTAGCTCCTGGGGGGCGAGGGGAGACTGTCCTGGCAGCCAGCACGGTGCTGGGATGGCAGGATCCATCCAGCCCCGCTCCAGGGCTGCTCCAGCTCTTCCCAGGGAATTCACAGGGAATTTTCACATCCCACTGTCTCATGGGCTTGGAGCAGCACCACTGTCTCTCATTTGCTGTGGGTTAGTAACTCGCCTGATCTCTTGGAGCAGGGGGTAAAGCACAGGCAAGAGCAACAGGCTGCCTTTTACAGAGCTCCCCTGGTAAAACCCACCCTGGGACAGTCACTGGGACAAGGGACAGCTCTGGGACAGAAAGGGGTTTTTTGCTAATAAAATGGGAGGGCAGGAAAAGCAGTGTCCCAGTTAAAACAGTCCAGTGTCTTCTCCTTTGCCGTGGGCTGTGGGGAGGGCAGGGGCTCTCTCCACACATCCCAGGAACAGCCCAGGCTGCTCAGGGACCCAGTTTTGCTTCTCACCAGTTTTCTATCCCCCCTTCAGCTGCCAGAGCCTGAGGATAAACCCCAGTCCTACAGCTTTGGGGTCTGAAAGCCTCCTCCAGCTGGACAGTGGGGACAAGGGTCCCAATCCAGCCCTCTCTGCTGAGAACCCATCCTGGGTGGTCGTGTTTCCTTGCACACACAAAGTGGGAAACGCTCCCGGGTGAGCCCTGGGAGGTCACAGGTTTGGCTTCAGGGAATTCTGTCCCCTCTCCTGCCTGGGGAGGATCCAGATGGGTTGGAAGCTGCAGGGTACAGGGAGCCCCCCCATTCCCTTCCCTACCTGTCGAGGGAGACGGTGGCCAGGGTGAAGCTGCTGGCGTACATGGTGAGGTAGATGAAGAAGTGGACGGCCTTGCACATGAAGGCCCCGAACACCCAGCCCTCCAGGGTGTAGATGGTGGCTTGGAAGGGGACGCAGAAGAGGATGAAGCAGAGGTCGGCCACCCCCAGGTTGAGGATGAAGAGGTTGGTGGTGTTCTTCACCTGCCCGTTGCGCAGCAGCACGGCCAGGACCAGGCAGTTGCCCACCGTGCCCACGAGGAAGATGATGAGGTACACCAGGGGGATGATGACCGACTCGGGCTGCCAGCCCGTCTCAGAGCCCGTCGCCGAGTCGTTCATGGCCGGGAGCACACGGAGCACCAGGGAGGTGAGCAGAGAGTTGGGGGGGACGTATAGGAAAAGGGGGGGGGCACAGAGAGTGCAGTGGGGGGTCTAAAAGGGATTGCACGAGAAGAGGGGTGCAGGGAGAGCACAGCAGGGATGGCACAGAAGAATGGGGTGAGGTAGATGAAGAAGTGGACGGCCTTGCACATGAAGGCCCCGAACACCCAGCCCTCCAGGGTGTAGATGGTGGCTTGGAAGGGGACGCAGAAGAGGATGAAGCAGAGGTCGGCCACCCCCAGGTTGAGGATGAAGAGGTTGGTGGTGTTCTTCACCTGCCCGTTGCGCAGCAGCACGGCCAGGACCAGGCAGTTGCCCACCGTGCCCACGAGGAAGATGATGAGGTACACCAGGGGGATGATGACCGACTCGGGCTGCCAGCCCGTCTCAGAGCCCGTCGCCGAGTCGTTCATGGCCGGGAGGACACGGAGCACCGGGGAGGTGAGCAGAGAGTTGGGGGGGACGTATAGGAAAAGGGGGGGGGCACAGAGAGTGGAGTGGGGGGTCTAAAAGGGATTGCACGAGAAGAGGGGTGCAGGGAGAGCACAGCAGGGATGGCACAGAAGAATGGGGTGGGCAGGGGGTGCAGCGGGGAGCACAGCACAGGTAAAGGGGTGCAGAGAGAGCAGAAGGGAGATGCG